AATTACTGTAGGAAAATAGGAAAAATAGGAAAAATAGCCTCCCCCCCAAATAGGAAAAAAATACGAAAAAATTAGGAAAAATAGCCCTCCGTGGACCTAGGTCTGGCGGACCTAGCCCCAGTGGACCTAGGCCTAGCCCCGGTGGACCTAGCCCCAGTGGACCTAGGTCGGTGGACCGAGGCAATGATCCTCTTTTATTTCTATTTTGTGTTGTCAGCCCTATTTTATTCCTATTTTGGGGTCCTATTTTATTCCTATTTTTTCCTAAAAATAAATATTTTTGAACACTCCAGAGATAGCAATAGCTTTTTTTCATAAGTCTATCTATGAACGTCGGCGCTATCCCAAGAATTTTGTTCAGGCAACGCTACTGGAAGGCGTCGATTTTTTCATTATGGCCTGTGTGAGATGAAGAGTCTCCAAACCATAGACAATTTGAGGTTTGATAAAGGCATCAAAGATCATGGTATCATCATTGAGCGTCTAACGGCAAGTGTAATGTCATGAAGTGTCACAAGGCCAATCCGTGGGTTCTCCAGCCACCGCCTCAGGGAGTCGCGAAGCTGCTCTGTCGAGCTCGGCTGAGCTTTCTTGCATCCTTGACCCGACGCGCGCCGCAATGAAGTCGGGCATGAAGAGCTCTCCCATGAAAGCGCCCATGAAGTTGTGCCTTCACAAGACGTTCGCAGCTTCTTTGAGCAAAGGCCTCCAAGCTTCCACATCCTTTTGCACGCGCCAGTGTGGAGTGCTTGAACTCGGCGTTTCAGATTCAAGCGGTTGCCCAAGTACTTGAAGAAGTCCACGAGGTAGAGAGCACGTAGCGCTCGTCTCCAAGCTCCTGCAGACACTCCTCCACTCCTCCACAAGGTTTCGAGCTCTTCCAGGCGCACCAGAAGTTCGTTTTTGCGCACAACCTGCACAAGGGCGGTCAGCACGGGTTTGCACAGATCCAACATATTTGAGGCAGTTGAAGTCCTTCCTTGAGTTGAGCTCCAAGCCACCAATGACCCGATCTACGGGTTGCAAAGCGACAAGGAGTTGATGTTTTGAAGGCTCCTTCAGAATATGACCTCGCCCAGCAAAGACCTCCACAAGATCTGCGCGACATCGCCGAAGAACGCAGGCACGCTGCGGATCGCAGATGGGCGAACCCGCTACGCAGATGCGCTGCACAGCTGTGCCCAAGAGACGCTTGCAAGGGCCTTCCTTGAGGAAGTTCTGAGCCCACCCCTGAAACCGCACTGATGGCAGATTCGCACGCTTTGGCCGACCGTGCTGACAGACGATCACATTCCGCTGGATCTCCAGGAATCCTGGTCAGCTGGAGATTGGGTTGCGCCGTCGCCAAAGTCTGCAAGCTAAAGAATACCAAACTACCTCATGCGCTGCTTTATAAGCACTGCGCGACAAACCGTTGCCACCATCATCACGTTCATTGGCAGGGCGTCTCAGCCACGCTGGTCAGGCGGCCTTACGGGATCGTGAGCGGAAGGGGGTGCCACAAGAAGATTTTTTGCTGTCGGCGGCGTTGAACAAGGCGATTCAGCCATGTGAGTGACCACAGCTAGTCAGGGAGCGGTGGTGGAACCCAAGTGGCGAGACACAGAAAGCCACCGTGATCTCTTCGATCTAGGCTCTCAGGGTCAAGACAGGGCGACATTCTCCGACGGCGGTGGTGGGTCAGACGGCAACGTCGGAGGTTGGGAGTTAGTTCTTGGGTGGAGGCGGTGTCTTGTTCGCTCCACGCACCACCCAAATGATTTCACCATTCATTCAGCGTCAAGCGCAGAGACGCTGAGTTAAATTATATGCGGGCTTTCACGAAGCCAGTGATGAAGCTCCACACCCCAGGCACAAAGAGATACAAAGAGCCTCTCCTTTCTGCTGAGCCTTTTTCTTCAGAAGTCGATGAAGATGAACTGCCTTCTTTGTCAGCGCCCTTGCCCTTGCCAGCGCTCTCGCCCTCCTCTTGGCCCTCGTCAGGCTCTTCCTCATCGAAGAGCTCCTTATCCTCAGAGAACTGCTAATCGAAAAAATTGTTGCTGTCCTGTTGTCATACTGCACGGCGTCATCGGGGGCAGCGACATAGTTCTGGAGGACACTCCTCAGTGGCATCGGCGTGCCACGCTACCTTGAGAGCCACCATCACGGCGCCAATGGGCGTCGTGACAATGCGGTCAAAGCTCTCGATCGTACTCTTCCGCGTCTGAACAGTTTCTTCTCACCAAAGGCCACGCTGAGGTCCTCAAGCATAAGAGGTCGATCCCCGTAGGAGACGTGAGCTGCTGCAGCCGAGAGCGAGCGACGCCAGATCTGTACAGTATAGTCGCGCTTCGGGGACCCGAGGATCCTTGTGAGCCTCGAGTTGGTCGAGGCATGCGACGCTGCTGGGCTTCACTTCAGACCATGTCTGGTTCCTTGTCGCCAAAGCGCACGCTTGCGGCATCCAGATCGTCATCTGCTACATGTGGCGAGCCTGGCGCGCTGGTGGTGGACCGACCTTGCGCTACACATGCGGCTTTCAGGCTGTGGAGCCCGGGATCCCTGGATCTGCCACCAGCTGCAACGCTCAGGCTTTTCTGAAGTCCATGAGATGTCGCGACGTTAGTTACCCACCCTTCTATGGGGAATTGAGAGGAATGCAGCGGCGAGCGTCTAAATGCTAAGTGGGGTGTCATGAAATGTCACATTCGCATACATTCGCAGCCATACATCAGACGGTATTCGATAACTTCCCTTAGAATCATACTTAACGCACTAGATCTAATGAGCGCTAGCCCTTGGGACCAAGTTGGCATCGCAATGTTCAGAAAGAGCGATGTCTTGCTCGATTTGCTCCTGATGCACTACTGAATATATCCTCACCTGACGACCCTGCATTCACCACAGCTTCTGCAGCACCCATCAAAGTTTGATCGAAACTTTCTAAGAGACTCTCGATCTGGGATTCTGGCTGTTGGTGAATATACTTTCGGTTGTCATGCACCAATGGAATTTGGGGCCAAACAAGGCCAGGACTCCAATTTGCGTTTTCCTAAGTGATCCTCTTGCCCTGTCCCCGAGTATTGGTGCCCAAGGTCTCAGTAAAAACTGCAAAATGGCTCAAATCAAATGCAAGAAATTCAAAAGGTTGATTTGGTGGGTTGACAACCGGGAAATACGAACAATTCATCTCAATTATAGCTACAGCTAGGCTTCACGCGCACGTGGATAGCAGCACCAACCAAAGCCAAGCATCGGCAATGAGATCTCAGAAACATAACTGCGTAGAATCGGCTGAGTTCCTGCCATGCCACATACCAACCTCTGCAGTATCCTTCATACGCTGTTTCCCCTGCCTCCAAAGAAGCCAGCAAGCGCACGGCCCGCTAGAAAGAAGTAGACCTTGTGCGAGCGGCGTCTGAAAGACGCGTTGTTGCCGGGATCTGTACTAGGTCTTTCCTATTGAGTCTCACAAAGCAAAAGACAACAAAAGCGCTGCTGAAGCAAAGATGGGCAAGCCCCGTTCTTGTTCTGACACGAAGATATGCAATCCAAAGTACCTAGACACAAAGGCAAACCGGGGAAGCATTGTCTAAGTCTAAGACTCATTTGCTTGGCTGGAAAACAGCTACGCAACTGACCACCATGATTCAAGATTTACTGCTAGCTGACCGCCCTGATTGTTCGGCTTTCGAGTTAGGACCAAACCTAATCAGTATCTTTCAGCTACGACTCTTTCTGCCATGGATTTGCTGCTACTGCTATGTGCCTCCAGCGCCCAAAGCCGTAGCATTTTGCTCATAGAGTTCAATTGTCCCATTTAGCAGCTGACCTGCATGGAACCGCTATCGGCCGGAGTGTATGTCAGCTGCTGTCCATGCTGAAGTTGCTAAAGAGTGCTAGTGTGCATGTGTAGGCTGCATACACGGGACATCTGCAAGTGGACACTCTTCAGCTGAAGAACATTCGTGTCCCTCCCAAAGCTGCAGCGTCTCACCACCCTGCAAAGCGTAGTTTGCTCGCGCACAGCCGCTCAAGTAGTGGCTGTTTCCTGGACACAAAAGCTGTTGGCGTTGCCCAAAAAGCTCTTGCAAGTTTTCACTCTGCAGAGTTCTTCAAGCTCCATGTCCAAATCGACGATTTTAGACTCTATATATAGACGCAAAAGTTCTGCCCACCTTGCATGGCGTAGGCGATGGAGCTGCCAAGGACAGACACTAGAACACACACCTGATCCCAAGAGGTCAATAGGGCTGTGCTTTGGTCGCCGACAATGAAAATGAATCTCTCGAGAATCGAAAAAACATCAAAAACAAGATTCTGAGACGTCCGTGCATCCTGTTTGCCCTGAGAGCCTCATACATGCACATCGAACATCCAGTCCCACTGGAAAAGACTTTCCCATTGTAATGTACACCTGTCAACCGGCATTCTGGAAAATAATTGCCGCCCATGAAACCACGCCCACCTTGGTGCCTTTGACGTCTGCCAATCGAGGCATCCAGAGGAAGGAGACAATGCCCAGACCAAAACGAACCTTTCAATGAAATTGGGCAAGTCACTGTCGCAATACAACCAAAAGTCACTTGTGGGAACTCCCCCAAACACCACGCGACGCTGTGAAGACGGGCGGGGCCCGCAATTGCCCAGAACTTCCGCTGCCGACAGGATCTTTTAGAGACTCTGGCATGCATATGAGGGGTGTTGCGCAGCACGACCAGATCAAAAGGCATCAATTGTTTGTCTAAGGGTTGGTCGCCATGAGAACTCATCCACAAAGAAGGCATGCAAGGAGGGAAACTGATCAAGTTAGCAGATTGGAGCCGGAGTGAAAATAGTGCAAATAACAAAGAAGATCAGCTGAGTAAGCTCATGTTCCACACAGGCTGGAATTGGAATGGATTGCAAAATAGACAGGCTTAGATACTCTGCAAGTCTGTTGCTTTGCTCGGCTCGGCACGGGTAGCACCGCAGGAAGCAAAGGTCTACCGTGGGTCTCCCAGAACAGTTTGAGTTTGGGCGCGGAAGCTGGACAAAGCGTGGTCAACTTTGTTGGCTCAAAGTGTCGACACAGCAAGATTCTTGTGATGCTGCAACCAACCCGTTGCAAAAAAAGATTACGCCAGTGGGGCAGTGCCCTGCAGCGGCAGCAGCACCCAGCCTCCAAAAGCACCCGCTGCCATCAACATCTGGCAGCACCCAGCGGCACCAGCGCACAGGCTCCAAAGCAGACACAGCCAGACAACCTTACAGCGGGACCTTCCGCTCCTGAACGTTGTTCTCTCTTTAGATTCAACCACAAAAAAGCATGGAGGTGTGTGGGCTCCTTTCAGAGGGGGCCTTATTAAAGGAAGCGAGAGCTGTTGGGGTTCTTACTTCAAGCATAGGAAAAGGTGCCTGTGTTCGCTTTGGATGCTGGGTGCTGGTGCCGCTGTAAGGTGCTGCTGCTAGATGTGCCTGGCTGTGTCTGCTTTGGAACCTGGGTGCTGGTGCACAGCAAGCTAATTGCCTACATGACTGTCCTGTGTGGTCACAGCCAAACAAACAAGACCCAACATCTATGTGGAAAACGTGCACTGTGTTGCCACGTCACGGTAGAAAAGCTTGCAAGCTCTGCAGTGCTTGCGCCGAGTGATTGTCCATAAGGCACCAGAACTGGAGCTGTGAAGAGAGTGCCCATGACATCGACTAGATTTACCTCAAAACAATGCCGTGGCTGGTGACATGGCTGGATGATTTGCAGGAAACTTAGACATCAGTAAAATCTACCTTGGATGCACCAAAGTCACTGAAGGCCTACTAGACTTCACATCTGCTACACTTGAAACCCAGCCAAGTTTGGACTAGTGACTATATAGCATGCAATGAAACTTGGCAAGATAGAAACAACTACTTTTGGCGCTCTGATGCTTACAGCATGTAGCAGGGCGCTCCGTATCGCGAGATTAAGTGAAATGCTTAGAATCAGAAAGCAAACCACCTTTTATCAGCCCAAAAACAATAGCCTGCACAGCAAACTTCTGCTTAGCAAACTGGTCGGGAATCTACACTGCGTGTACAAAGTGTGGGCGTTGCCTGCTTTGCTCTGGAAAAAAGAACAACTAACTAAAATAAAAGAAAACCAACCCTGCAGGCAACTAGGAGCCTGCTTCAATGACCAATCTTTAGCGCTGGAAACGGTTTTAGAGAAAAACCGTGCAAGTTGATGCAAATTGATGTTCGTCCTTTGAATAACTCTGGTCGTCAAAGCCTCCGATCTACAACCAAACTTGTATACTTGTGCTTGGAACGGATCAAACAACTGTCAATATCGGATCGTGCATGAACAAACATGTTGAAGACCACATTCACATGTGCTGGCACCAGACTTCTCCTACTTCGCGCTCCATTGCAACTTTCAACATTCCAATCTCGCTGGTTATTACCATTGGTTACCAATGTGATTGCCATTCGTTACCAACGCAATTGTTTCTCTCATCATGACTTTGTATCTTTTTCAGACCTTCGGTCACCTTCGCTCTAAGGAATTTGTAGAAAAGGAACAAAAATGAAAAAAGGAACTAAGGAGTAGTGCATCAATGACCTGCTCCAGCATTTATCTGTCCACATGTTTTGACATTGCCCGGCATGCATGCGCAGGCCAACGTATGGGCAAGAACGATAGACTGTATAAAGATCAGGGATCTCTGGGAATCTAAATATGCTGAGAATAGGAAAACTTACAAGTGCAAGCTTGAGTTGCCATAAGGCATGCCGCAAAACCTATTTGCGTCCAGTCCACCATGGCAATTGGCACAGAGAACCCAAACCCTGACAACCTTCCAACAAAGCTTGAGCTCACATAACATGACCGGATAGAAGAATGTTATGCACGCCTCCGACATGCCAGGAAAACATATCAAAGTTATCAAAAGACAGTTCACAAGTTGGATAGTTTGAGCTCGACCCTCAAATGCTTGGATTTCACACCCATTCGCCTTGCACGTGTCTTTGGCCTGATCAAACGTCCTTTTCAGCCTGGACCACACAAAGACGACAGTACTCAGCTAGATGTCTTTTTTGTCTACAATGACTTCTGTCTGATTGTAAGGAGGACCTTATGAGGGTGAGAAACAAGCAATCTCACAAAGATCATCAAGGATCAACAAAACTAGATAATGCCAAGGCTGCATGTAAAGTGCGCAGCCGTCAATTCAACTAAGACTATGTGATGTAAGTGTTCGGCCATGCTGTTGCGCTTGGCAGTTCCAAAGCCCTCCGAGTGAAGTCAGAGTTCAACACTTAGGAGGTGAGGACTGAAACCCTGCCTCCACCTCTAAATGCCTTCGAATCCACATACACCAATGCCGCCTCAGTTGATACGTCCAACTCCCTGCTAAGTTCCAGAAACAATGAATGTAAAGGCTCAAACAAATTTGGTTTGACTGGGCGCCTTCTTCGACTCTGACCGTACCTACCGGACTTGCTGTCTCCAGCTCGAATAGATAGGACATCGCTTGAAAATGTACAGTACACTACCCCAAAAGCTAGGACCCGTTCCTCATCGTTCCTCAAACAAAGTGTTCTTCAAGCAAGCTTATCCCCCAACCGTGAAGTGCAGGCCGGGCAGGGATATATGATCGCCCAACGGGTGGTGACACAAGCTCAGCTCAAGCATGCACGTCTTTTTTTGGCCCCTAGCGCAGAATGCCGTTCATTTGGGCGATTCTTCTGGAAAATGGCGCGGCGGAGGCTCAGTTCCAGGCAATGTGATATTAGAGCTTCTAGACTCTGGCAGGCAAAGCCAATTTCTTACAAAACCAAGCAAGTAATGATTGAGCAATGCCAAACGATCATTGGACCTTCACTTGGCATATGGCATGTGGCCTAAGACCAACAGATATCAAGTTACTTTCAAAGTCCGACACTCAACACAGCTGGTTCTTGCCGGTGTTCAAAGCTTGCTCAGATGACAATCTCCTCTTGGCCTTACCATGGACATCCATGGACCAAATTGTTCAGGCTCTAAACCATCCAGTACATGGTCAAAGTACAACCATGAAACGTTATTTAAACCTATGCCTCTTCAACCTCTGGCAGACATGGGGATACATGTGCATGTATACGCAAAGGTGTGCAACACTGAGAAACCACTTACTGGTTGCTAACGAGACCAATGTGCCTTTCTACCCACAAATGTTAAACTGTGCAAGGCTGTATGAATGGAGGCCCAAACTCCAAATCAACTGAACGGTAGGCCTCGAACATGATTCTATGATGCCTTGTGACATCTAAGACAGCCTAAGAAAATCTCTGGGCCAACACGCTACTCCGACTCTCTACCAACTTGGGCCCTTGCTGTCACGATGCGTATGGGCCCGCATCCGCAGCCATGGATCTCCACCACAGCTTGGTGCTTCTGGTGCAGTGGGTGGGGTCTTGTGGTCCTGCCATGCGGCCAGCACTGCCAGCACTACGAGCATTGTTCAAGGACGAGGCCATTTAGTGAAATTAGTCGTCCTCTCACACCATCCGACACCGTCTGACACGACACTTGAGCTGGCCTTGAACATTACAAATCGGTAGATGTCTTCCGGGAGCCAGGAAGGTTTTTGCAAGCCTTCCATCTCATAGACAGCATTCCTCGACACAAAAAAGAGAAAGAGAAAGAGAAGGAGGAAGAGAGAGAGAGAGAGGGAGCAGGTTCACATAGCTGACAACAATTCTTAAAGTTTTCCAGATAACTATGTAATGTTTTTTGGACACCATGAGCCTTCTGCATTGGTAGCTTGCCCTCTAAAGCTGGGTCCTCCACACCACATCCATACTATGAATGCCTTTATTTTACATGTCCATGCCGGTACCATTCTAAGCCAACCCAACCAGGATGCTGCTTTGACAAAACGAAAAGTTTGACCAGGCTGCTCTGCCAAGACTAGGGAGCTCTCAGCCCAACAGCTTGGCCATCCGTACGCCTGGCAACTGAAGCCAAAACAATCCAATGGGCAAAAACACATCAAAACATTTTGCACACTATACTCAACGTCTGTTTGTATATATGGTTAAAACAAAAAATATTATAGATAAAAATATACATATATATATATATATACAAGTTAACGGCAAATTAAACCAGCTGACAACCGCAAAAACAATTCGTCAAGCAAAGGGTCATCAAGAAACCAAAACAACAGCATGACTGAGAAAATACCGCGACGTTTGAAAAGCAAACTGAGACAAGACCACAACACAACCGAGACAGCAAAACAGCGCCAGCAGAACTGAGGGAGCACCAAAACAAATAGCCTGTGGAAGGCACCCCAAGTCATGATGACCAAGGCACCACGAAAAGGCCACTGAGATACACAACCCCAAGTTACTGGGAGTGGAAACTTTCAACATGTCCAAGACAACACGTTCAACTTTGTTTAGAACCCTCACGCCTGCACCGAAATGTTTCCAGCAAGAAACCCCAAGCAGTGTTAAGTAGAAGAAGAAATGAGCGATGAAGCAAGCTTCGGCGCTCTAGAGCACACAAATGAGAGCACAAATATGAAAGCCATGAGAACATTCACATGAGGGCACACGTATGAGAGCAGGTTTCAAAAAAAACGGAACCCACGAACCCGAATGCAAACACCTAAGTAGTAACAAGTGCCTTACTACTAGCAACAAGAAGCTAGTAGAAACAGGAATTAGAATTAAGTTAGCATAAAATAAGTTAAGTTAGAACTAAATTAAAAAATAGAATTTGGACAAACAAACGCCCAAACACTTTTTACGCTCTTGTGGGAGCTCTCGTGCGACGCTTTCGTCACTCTGTGGGACACTCTTGCAGGACACTCTTGTGGGCCTTGTGGGACACTCACGTACGACACTAATTTGACCACATAATCTTCCCGTACTACATGTGGCACTGCAAAGCTGCCACCACTCTTGTGGGACACTCTTGTGGACTCTTGCGGGACACTCTTGTATGACACTCTTGTGAGACACTCTTGGAAGACACTCTTGTCGGACACTCTTGTCGGACATTCTTGCGGGACACTGTTGCGGGATACTCTTGTGAAACACTCTTGTGAGGCACTCTTGTCCGACACTCTTGTAGGTCACTCTTGTGGGACACTCTTGCGTGACACTCTTGTGGAAAACTCTTGTGGGACGCTCTTGTAGGGCACTTTTTGTGGGACATTCTTGTAGGCCACTCTTGTCGGACACTCTTATGGAACAGTCTTGCGGGACACTCTCGTGGTTTGTCGGACACTCTTGCGGGACACTCTTGTGGGTCACTCTCTTGGGACCCTCTTGTATGGCATTCCTGTAAGACACTCTTGCGAAGCACTTTTGTAGGAGACTCTTGCGGGACATTCTTGTAGGACACTCTTGTGGCACATTCTAACATTCTCCTTATGGGACGCTCTTCTATTCTAAGACTCTGTAGGACACTCTTGTGGGACATTCTTGGGACACTCTTAGTCTCCAAAAGTCAACCGTGTCCAATGCTAGCGTTTCGTTCGAGACTTGCTCCAAAAGTCAGGCGTCAAGTCTGCAAAGTGAGCACTTCGCACGAGACTTCTTCCAAAATTCACTCGTCAAGTCTCCAAAACAAGCGTTTCGCGACAGACTTCCTCAAAAAACTCACACTTCAAGTCTGCAAAACGAGCGCTTCGTACGAGACGTCCTCCAAAATTCACGCGTCATGTCTCCAAAGCGAGCGTTTCGCTCGAGACGTCCTCCAAAATTCACTCCAAAACGAGCATTTCGTACGAGATTTCCTCCAAAAGTCGACGGAAGCCCCATCAAGCAACACCCGCTCTCACGCCAATCCCAATGTCACCGATCAAACCCAGCCCTAAGCCTTACCGTGAAAACCCCTAGTGCGACCACACTGTTTGTGGAAAAAAACACCCTGAAACACCTGGTGTGGTCCAGGCACACCTGAAGCTACCCTTCCAGAGACAGGTCAAAAGAAAGTACATGTTGCCTTTGCAAGCATGAAAAACCGAGGGTTACTAGGGTTTCAACCCATGATCCAGCAGCACTGTTTGTGTTTCAAATTGGTTTAGCTTTAGCAAGTGAAGCGCTCATACCTAACCGTCCCGAAGCTACGCTCTATCATCACTCACCTGTCTGAGCGCTTCCGCAAAAGGCGCAGCTCTTCTCACAAGTCACGTTTACACCCCGCACATCCATTCTTTTATGAAAACAAGGATACTGAACGCAAGCATCAAATTGTATCTAAGAGCTTCTTTCTCATGGATCAGAAATTGCATCAAATCAACACCACAGCCCACTGAGTTGGCTTTGTCTGCATGATGCCTCATCGGCCAGGAAGACGGGCACATCCTCCCCCAGCGGACGCACAAACTTGGAGCGTTGTTGACCTTTTTGCAGCCAGGTGGAAGGGAGTCAAGGTTTTGCAAGAACACTTCAGCAAAGGCACTGGTGTTGAACACAGGCTTTATGTCTTCCACGTCGTAGCCTTGAAGAATGCTTGAGGGATGACTCGAGCTCGAAAAATTGTAACAAGGAGAAAAGGAGGAGGAAATGGTCCTAAAGTGCTAAATGTTGTTCGCTTGTGCCTTCTAGACAAATGATCAGAAAGGAACCACAAAGCAAGCTTGCTGAGCTAGCCGACCAGAATTCACCATATCAAAAAGACATTAAAGATCAAACTCAAACATCCTCCGCACCTAGCCCTTGAGATTGCAGACTGCCACAGTGAAACCATCTCACACTTACTTGCTGGCAGCGTTTGGCATCCTGTTTTGACTCGAGTTAGTAGCGTTTAAAAAAGAAAAAAGGATGTGAGCCAAAGAAGCGAAGTGAGGAAGCCACACTGGAAAACCAGAGACGCAGCAGCCCAGAAAGGGTGGACAAGTCTCAAGAATACACTTGGACCGAGCGCCCGAGGCCAATCTACTACCGAAGTGCCAAAGCCGTTTTCCTTCGACACAAAACCGATTCTGCACGCGCCACCACAGTGAGAGCAAACCCACCAGAATTAAGTTCAAGATGTTCAAGGGCCAAGCATTTTGTTCAAACCGTGTCAAGCTAAATGGAACCACCCATGTGCAGCTGCAAATACCTATGCACAAACCCTGACACCAAACCCCTACCGTCAAAAAAAAGAACAAACAGAAGAGAAACCAGCATGTAAGACAAGAGATGTTGTGTCCATACAAATTTTAATGTGTGAAATCATTGGAAGCTGAATGATTCGGAGTAATCAGAAAATACTGCGCATCTCTGCAGCAACAGTTGGTCATCAGAAATACACTGCCAGTAACAACCCAAGGAACCACGCGGGCTGACAACCTGCCAAGACAACATTATCATGTTCACATGACCGAAGGAGATTGTTGTGGCCAAAGGTTGCAGAGGTACCAAAAACCGACTGCAATCATCATCATTTCGACCTGTCTATTCCATTCCAAATCTTTTTGCGCACAGTTTCAAGGTGCCTTGAGGTTGTGGCACCCAGCTTCAAAACCAGCGGCCTGGTCGACTATGGTCAATGAAGGATTAATGCGTGTTCTTTAGCAAACTGGACGCTACTAGGGGCTCCTGGACTCACTACTAGGAGCAAGAACGCTCCTGGGGGCTCCTGGCCTTACTACTAGGAGCAAGGACGCTACTAGGGGCTGCTGGCCTTACTACTAGGAGCAAGGACGCTACTAGGGGCTCCTGGCCTTACTACTAGGAGCAAGGACGCTACTAGGGGCTCCTGGCCT